TCAGATTATTAAACATTACCTCAACTAACAGCCACTGTAAACCACCTCTGAAGAAATCACGGGAGGAAAGCTTAGGTGTGGAGTGTATGGACGTATGGAACATTCATGTGTGTAATGGAATGTTCGCAATACCTCGACAAATTCCTCCCTTCGTTATCTGTGCTCTCTGGATGTTCTGTATACATGGCGTCTCCTCTCAGCTGGTGTCTGTGTCTAGCGCTGCAGGTTGCCGTCTTTCTTACCGCGCGCCTCTCTCAGCATCACCATTAACCCGGCAGCTCTGAGGCCACCTGGGAGTCTAGCCTTTGGAACTGTCCATCAAAACATCCCAAAGAAAAGAAATTGGCCTGCGTCTTCTCTCTACAGTCGCCAAAACCAACTAAAAATAGATGTGGATGGAGGCTCCACTTGGCTGTTGCTAGGCAAACACCTTTCTCAACCTTTATCTTACTTGATAAAACCGAGCAATACGCAGTTATACTTTATTTTCTTGTATTTCAAGTACTTAATTATGACCTTGTATAAGTATTAAGCACCCTGACAATTTTGCAACGGTCTACCTATAGGCTGAAAAAAAAAAAAATACAAGTTGCGTACATTTGGATTGAACAGTTGGAAACCAATCAACCAATCAAAATCAAGATAATAACAAATATGAAATAGACAAGAGAGTTGGTACACAAACTACTTTTTATAAAAACAATCATATATATAAATAACAATATATATATTTATAAACATACTGTATATACATATATGCACATATATACATATCTATACATATATACATATATATATATAGAAACTGGCTCTAATAAGGGTTGAAAAATACACAGTGCTTTATTAACTACATAATAATTACTATATTATTTCATATCTCAAATTTTATAAAATGTCTTCAAATGATGAAATAAAATATGCAAATATGAATGAGAATTATTTGATTGGTTTTAAAATAATAGTGACCTACATTAAGGCGTGGCCACTTCTAAAAACAAATGTATTTATTTTTTAAACATCGCTTTGAAATTCTAATGATTTGTAGCCACCGTTTTCACTTTGTGAACAAACGGTTATTGGGTCCTTGAATGGGAGCGCTGCTGTAAATAGGCGCGCTGTAGCAGCGTGGGTGTGTGCTGTGTGAAGCTCACGGAGAGGTTTTCAAGACCAGAAAAGCCCAATTTAGCATTCCAGGGATACTTTTTAAATAAAACAGAAGTACCGAGATGACCAGCCTGACGCAGATTTAAACCGAGAGCTTCTACTTTTCTGGCCTCTAGCAAAAGTAGCATCTGTGTTCCATGGCAAATAAAACACGTTGATATGAAGTAGGTGATAAGATCCTGCTCCTCTGCTTCCATTTATCAGATTTACAGTCTTTATCTGAATCCTCTCCTCCCTTTCTGGTTTCTATTTTGGTCTCTCTTCTTCACTGCCTACAGATTTTCTTTTTTCCCCATGGAGACGACGTACAGTTACTAGCTGGTGGGCAGCGCTCCTATTCTGTCACCATGAGAACGCCATTCTTTATTTTCACCTTCCTCAGGACAACTCTGACCCGTGGTAACGACGGGGAGAAATACCAGCCTTTACTTTATTTAATGTCAGTGTGAGATCCTCTTATGTACAGGCTATGACTTTGTTCTCTTTCTACTAAATACCCTGTTGTTTCAGGAGCTGCTATTCCAACAATCAATCTCACTCCCCCCTACACACACCTCCCCCTTCTGGCAAACCCAGCCAGCCTATTCAGTATTTAGCATCGTGTCAATTCTTTGGCTGCTTCGCGTTCATTCGTTTGCTCTCAGGACAGACTTGGATTCAAATGTTCGTTGGATTCCATTAATATAAAAACAATAAAACTCAAATCCTGCCCCGCAGCGCCTTCATACTTTCTGAGAGTACTTTAAATTTCAAGGACACGGTAACGGAGCTGCTGCCTGCTTTGCTCCATGTTTTCTCTTCAGAGTCACTGATAGGAGTTACTAATGAATACCTGAAGATGTAGCCTATTCATAACCTACTTTAATAAAACAAATGCGATTAAAAGCGCCTGCTGACTTTACTCTCATAATTGACAGTTGATTCAGTATTCCATTAACATGCTCAAAACAGGCTGTGATTGGACGAAACCTCAGCGCTGAAGCCACTTAAGACCAAATGCCTGTCGTTAAACACTGATCAGTGGGTTTTGTTGTGAGAAAAAAAATCTATTTCTTAAATCATAGCAGACATTAAATCGGTACCGAGTTGGACAAATGGAACACTGATGACTCACTGAGGTCTGACATTATTTTTATTATCATTATTTCTCGTTTTGGTCTGTATTGTAAATGTTACTGTAAGAAAATGTCATACTGAAACAAAAATACTATAACAAATAAGCAAAGCTGCATACTACTGTAGTAGTAGTAAAGTGCTGAGGCATTACTACCATAAAACTGACCAGGGCCCTTCATGTTTTTTTGATTTAATAACACCTTAAATTAACATCAACCTTACACATCAATTTGGTCTGAAAACGCAGGATTACAAGTTGCAGATTCATGCTAGTTGAAAACTACAGTACCCGTACGCTACAGGTGTCGAACTCAGGCCCGCGGGCCAAATCTGGCCTCTGGTGTAATTACATCTAGCCCGCGAGATTAGTGTATAGTCACTATACAGTGGCAGGATTTGAGGTATTAGCGATGTATGCGCAATATCATATTTTAAATTTAATTTCTCAAGTGTTCCAGGTTCAATGTTTAGGAAGAATTTTTTTTTTTTTACATATCTTTAAAATAGCATATGTCATTGCATATCTCACTACTACATATCTGGAGAGAAGGGACAACATGCAAAAATACTGTTGATTTCTCAATAAATATTAAGTTTGGCCCACGACTGAGTTTGACCCCAGTCGTTTGATCAAAGTCGAACCCTTTCTGTTCTGTGCATTCTACCAACTCCTCTGTATTTGGCTGTATCCAGCTCTTAGCTATTGTACTGCTGTCACCAAGAGCAACCTCCTCTCTCCCCATTCTCTCCCTTCTTTTTTTCTCTCACCTATTTTTCATTTCCAACACACACATACTTGCAGCCAACCCTGTAACATTCTGCTGCAGCTTTACGATACAGACGATAGTAACAGCACGTTTGTCTTTAGATGTCTTTCTTGACACTTTGAAATGTTTTGCGCACGAGTATCATAAATATTACATGAAGCACATTTTCTGTGCTGATTTATCCCATAAAATGTTGTTTTTCGGTGCTGTTTAGCAAGAAAGCCTGTCTGCTGCTCAGACAAGACCAGCAACATTATCGTCAGCGTTTCGTCTCGTTACTGACATGTTTGCATGTTGCCATTCAGCCTCACAATGGTCTGAAGATGCTAAGACTTCACCCACACAACCCCGACAATCTCCACAGAGATTAAAAATAGCCGTCTCATTGCAGATCTCATTATACGGTAGAAAAACGCCGTAGAACTGTGAACGAAAACTGCATGAGTAGCAAATTACCTCTCTTTACCTTTTTTACACTTGACTTGACTGCACCTTCCCCTCTCTGCCCCCGTCATTAAATCGCTCCATAAATGCCTGAGCTGTCACACAGGCGGACGAGCTCCTCAAAATAAAAAAATAAAAAACTGGTTAAAAAAAGATGCCAGAAATGCCAGGTGCAACAGTGAGAGAGTTATAGAAAAATAATCAAATTATTAAAAATAATCTACATTTTGATAGCAGAATTTAGGAAGTTAGGAAATGGAATCATAGGTAAAAAAAAAATAGACATGATCCAACACCATCCTTCTTAAAAATAGCTCTGTGTAGCCAGTGAGCAGGGGTGGGCAAACTTTTTGACTAAAAAAAAAAATTAGATCATTAGGCACATATGATGTCTGTCGCCATTTAGTGGCATCAACAGAAATTACAGTCGATTGGTTGAAAGGTTTGACATCAGTCTGTGCCATAACTTTTACCAATGTTTGGTGGCCTGGATTAGAAAGCCCAGCGGGCCGTATCTGGCCCACGGGCCACAGTTTGCCCAGGTCTGCCAAGGAGAGTTCTACATTAAAAGTAAACGTTGACTGATATTTGTTTCTGTTAAGTGATCCACCCATCAATTTAGATGTCTGTACGATCACTAGTTTTGTCAAGCAGTGTAAGTGCATAAATACAAAAGAATTCTTTGGCATAACCAGAGCTACAGAATGGACACGGTCCAAGGGCTTGAACCAATCAGCGTGGGTCAAAGGAAAGAGACAGCCTTCTATAGGATGATGTCTATAGAGACTATACATAGACATAATACAAAAAAAAAAGTAATTTAGATGACGTGGAATTATTTAATGTGTATTTGCAGACTACTCTTTGGGGAAAAAATTACCTTGTGTGAGATGCATTAAGAAAGACGAGACCATAGAGATGCACCTGCAAATAAAAGTATATACCGGGTAAAAATGTGTGAGGAAAAAGGTGGAAAATAAGTCTGAACATGACCAACCGCAGACTCTGATACGAAAGATTAAGTATGTTTATGTGCAGCTTCTAGAGATTAAAAATTAACCAATGTGCTAACGCTAGCCCCTCACAGACAGACAGACAGACAGACAGCACAATATTATAAATAAACAATAACAATGCACGCACATATATTTACAGGAACAATACTGGCTGAATGACGTTACGTGGACCCAGTGGTTCCTTATCATCACTTTTTCTTTTGGAATTTCAATAAAATTGAATGGTAGAAATTTTAAAAATTAGACACTGATGTTGCGAACATTACTGTAAACTCCATCATTCTAAAGAGCACTTCATTCTTTTTCTCTCTGACCTCACCATCCTATATGTCCAACACATTCTTCAATTTTCCCATTGCAGAAAGATGCATTTCTCCAATGTGGCTGCACTCTCTGATGTCAGTCACTACTATTTAACTGTGACAGATCAGTGCATTAACTGGAGGAACGACAGAGCAGAACTGGGACGGCTCAGTGATGAGCAGGTGCCTACCTGAGGTAACGCAGAGCTTCTATGGTCTCAGCCTCCGTATCAGCTGAGCTGTGGTTCATCTTGTCCATCTGTTCTCACCCGGCACGTCTTCAGCAAATATGAGAGAGGACGAGCTGTGCTGCTCCTCAAATAAAAACACTTCCCTTCCTTCTCTGTGCCTCACTCTCTGCCTGTCACTCCTGGGAGCGGACTGAGAATGTGTACGGGCGGCGGCTCTTGATTGATTTGGCCAATGGTAGATAATTAGTGGCCACCACCCAGTGAATCCTGCCTCTGTATCACTGCCCCCCCTTCTCTTCTCTGGTCTTCTTCCCACAGTGGACTCAACTCATTCTCTGATTAAACCAGCTGGCTCTCTGTACCAGCTGCACTCGCAGGGAAAGCAAGCCAATTGACAACCAGCAGGAGTGGTGCTCGTCAGCTGATTGGCTCAGGTTGCAGTGGGGTCTTGCACGTTCCACTCATCCAGGATTCAACCCCCACCGTATACCTTCCTTCTCCCCCTGTTTAATTTACATACACACACTCACTCACGGACACTCGCACCTTCTTTTTTCTGCAGCAGCAGCAGGGGATCCTCTGATGTGGAATTTAAAGCGAGCATTAGAGTGAGAGAGCCCTTGAGTCCTCAGTGAAATCCTGAACACCTATCAAAATTCAGTGGGAGCTAAAGAAAATGTCCTTCCTCTTAAGAGACAAAACAACACAAGTGTTGCTGGGTGACATTACAGGGGGGTTTAGAAGAATCACATAAGGCATGTGATGCACACAGAATGATCACATGGGATTGGAGCAGCTGAAGGAAACACTATGTACTACCACAATGCTGTTTAAATACAAATATATATATATATACATATATATATACACAAATATATATATGCAAACACACAACCAGAGAAGTTAGAATCCTGGTTAAGAAACATGAAATAAGAGAAGATGGCTACAAAGGAGTCAGAAAAAAAACTGCTTTGTAAACAAACAAAACAAAGTGCAGTTGACAAGATGACTGTTACTTACAAGAAGAGTGTAACTGTGCTTTTCTACCGGGTTACACAATTGCACCTGTCAGAAAGAACGAATCCCTGTAAAAACAACGAGAGCAACATAAGCACATCTAAATATTGGTTTACTATGCCACCTATGGATGAGGACAAGCATTGCAAGCAACGTGAAGTCTACTTTTCACCTCTTGTATACATTTCTCGGTAACTTGTAAATATGGATAAAATATATACATATATAAACGTATATATGTATACAGTGTATTAAAAATGGTATAGCAAGACACAGCGGCAGAATATAAAACTAAAAAAACGACATAAAAGCTGACGTTATGATTGATCATGTTGGTAATATTAATGACCTAAATTACATCATTGAATATTTTTTTTGCACATTCACACAACTCACAAGTAACAGGTTAAAATTAGTTTTATTATTATTTGATAGCGCAGAAAATAAAATTACAAAAAAACAAACAAAAAAAAAACTTTCATACATGTTTCGTTTTTAAATTGGGCCGCACTGGGTCTGGGCAGCATGACCCACACATACGGAATGGTGAAACGTCATCAAGCAGCAGCAGTTGAAAGTAGATAAACAGTACAGGGACACGCGTAGCAGGATCAAAAGCAACTTTGGGGCTTGTACTGTTTTGTTTAATTAGCATTCACATAACACTGGCTGCTACTCTCTGCCAGTCAGGAATGTACAGACAAGCACTGGGATTTCTTCAGTGATCCTTTGTGTGCAGTTACACAAGACCTGGATAAAGGGATACATTTCATCTGATGCCCAGCTTTTATCCAGTAGCAGAAACAAAAACAAATGAAGTTGTGCTTGATGTATTTTATTATGTAATTTGAGAATTTTATGTCTTATTGTATTTTTATTAGCGACATATCAGTAGGGCCAAAAACGCAACACCACTCAGTTTTGAATTATAGTTGCAAAAAAACAGAACATGGTTTCATAGAGTTTCAATTTCAATTGGAGTTTACTGTGGGACGTGGTGACATCAGTAGCTTATCCTGTGCTGCCGCGACCTGGATCTGTAGCTCGTGAAAGGCATAGTTAGCTCAATTCAAAGACTGGACATCATTCACTCACACTGTAATGTTAAAGACTAGTATAGTTTGTTGCTATAGGGGTTTTTGCATAACTATATTCTGAAAGCTGTCCAGCCCCTCTCACAGAGAGCAGGAGCCTCTAGACAGAGAAAGGTCGTTTCATGAAGCTATCATCGAAACGTAGGGCATTAGCTTACATCACTAACAGGACCCTATAAATAAACCCAGAGACAGTTTGTCTACAGAAAGAAAAAACAATAATGCACCACAATCTATGACTAGAAGCAAACAATAAATGTCAAAAATATGACATTCCTTTGACCCTCCCCTCCCCCTTATTTTAGCATGAATTCATGTTTATATCCAGAGAGGGTTCAAATAAGATAGAAACCTTCCAGCAGAAGGGATTCCATTTGGGCTCCACTAGTTCTTTGGAAGTTTAACAATATTCAATCAGAATAGTCCTCTAAACATCCCGTCTGTGTTCTCACACCAGTCAGTGAAACCTTAAATATTATTCTTCCTCCACATCTTTAAAAAAAAACAAGTATTTAAAAGTAGGCCACAACATGGAACCCAGCAGATGTAAAACCACCTCAACAGTAACATTAGCCTGTAAATTCAGACCTCGACAAGAGGCCACTTCCAAAGTATCATGGAGCACAATATTTAATATTCCAAACACAGTATATGACTTACAGAAGCAATGACAAAATCCTAACATTCAGCCATACAAAATAATCAAACACGCACCCCCTTCTCTATGAGACATGGTGTAGATTAAAAAGAGGCAGTCTGTGTGCACATCTTTATTCTTTTTTTTTTCTTTTTTTTAAACTAATTTTTCTTTTAACGTTTTTGCAAAGCTGCAGTACTTATTTTGTGAATGGTCCTTGAAGCTCAACCATAATCTCTGTCATGAGGTCTTCAGTTAAGTTCACTTTGGCCACCACATGGGCCTGAGTCTGGCAGGCTCAGATTGAAGAGGAGCAGGACATAAGGCGGATGGTCTATTGTGTTGTAGCCATTACTAATTCCCTTGCCTTATGCAGAGACAGGAGGGACTCGTGGATTGTGTGTCAGCTTCTTTTTAGTAAACGTGGGAAGCTCGAATGATGGATAGGAAAGTAAAGGAACCATCACTGGAGTATTGTGAAAAACCATACACGCTCCCAATAAATCGAGCCCTCAAACAAGGTACACAAAATTCTTTTCCACTATCTCTTTGAATCCCAAGTTGGAATGTGGCAGCTTGGGATGCAGCAAGTTTTTTTTTTTTAGCAAGAAGATCTGAGGAGGTGATGAAGAAGTAAAGATCCTTCCCACAAACACAAAAAATAGGCAGACCATCACCTGCACCCCTTTTGTCCAGAGGCTTACATGTCCGAAAGATTAGAATGCTAATGAAAACGGCTGTTATTAATATTAAGAAGGGAAACAATTAGAGAAAAGCTGGATTGCATTATTTCCATGTGTTGGTTGTTTGAGAGATGGAACGCGAGGGAATCATGTCAAGTAAGTACTCTCTCTGACGCTCAGAGGTAGCCTTATGGGCAGACAAGCTGGGGTTCACATAAGCCATAGATACACCTGAGGAAACAAACCACAGCAGTGATGAGTGCAACAGTCAACAAGAACAACACACGATTCAACAGTGATGTCAGTAGGGCCACGCATTGTATTTGAAATTTTGAAAATCTTATGTTTCATTTGTGGATGCACCATCGGCTCGTTCATGTACCTGTATTTCCACTGTTCTGCTTTCTCCAGACAGTCATGTTGCCCTGGTTTGTGCTGCTGCCGACCTTTGCCCCCGGCTGCAGAGAGCGTCCTGCGGCATGCTTGCTTCCCCTGTTGCCCACCATTGCTGCTGTCACTGAACTCTGCAGCTGAGAGGAGGGGAATGAGTGCACCACGCCATGGGACCTCCCTGTGGACTGGATGTTATGTGAAAGTTTCTGCACATGAAAAGAAAAAGGGAATTATTCATTTTATGAATATGTTTAGTGAACTGCAGTCCTAAACCCTTTAAGTGCCAATATTTACCTGTTTAATTGTGGCATGGTGGGCGGCTACAGGTCTGTGCTGCATGGCAGCACTGACCTGCTTGTATGTCTGGGAAATCAGCATCTCACTTTTAGACAGTGAGGTGCTGGATGAGGAGGTGGTTTTAGAGATCGAGGAAGAGGAGGAAGAGGCCGCCTGCTGGAGGATGCGCTGGTTAATCTCCTGCTCCTGTTGGAGAGCCTTCACAAAAGCTTCCTTCAAACGACTTGTGTGCTCAGCTTTTAATGCCTTTTTCTGATTGGACGACACACAGTGGTCACAGAGGACGGTGCCAGCCTTCTCCTTTCTCCATCGAGATGTAAAGTCTGTCTTACACTGGGCACATGTGTGGGGCTCTTTAGGAATGGTGTTGGCAATCGCAGCAGCTGGACCAAGATTACCTGGAAAAAAAAGTGAAGCTTCTTTATTAAAATGGTTGAGTTTACATTTTTTAAAATACATCCAGCATTATCTCTCACCAGACGAGATACATGAGTGTGAAAGTAAACCCACCCCTGCCGTGCATTTCTAGAAGTGTTTGCACCACTTCTTCTAACCCCAACAAGTAGATAAACTCATTATTGGCTGCTGAGGGCAGGAAGTTTAAGTCTGGGGCGGGAGCCTTGGGCGGAGGAATTTCCGATAAAGTCTTCTCCAACTGTTTGCGCAGTGCCAGCTTGGCAGCGGCCTGCCGGCTGGCAGGAGAATCATTTATGCTGGAGTTAGATGACACCGAGGATCCTTTAAGGCTGGATGGAGAAGCCTAAATAGAGAAAAATGCAATATTTTATAAAGGGAACGCATAAAGGGGAAGAAAAGTGTCCTGTAGTAATGATCCAAGATCCTGACCTGAGAGATGTTGACCATGACATTACTGTTGGCCACATTAGCCACCCGAATAAGTCCCTGCTGAATGATCCTCTGGCCTTGGACCTGGACATTGGGAACGGACGCCCTGGGAGCGAGTAAAAGAGGAGGAGGACCAGAACCACTGTGCTGCTGCTGTTGCTGACGTAGACTGGCTATCTGCTGAGGAGTAACTGCAATAGGCTGACGGCACAGAGGCAGAAGGAGAAATATTTAAACCACAGATATCAACTGAAACTATTTCAGAAATATAAGAATTGACTCTTGGTAATGAGAAGAGATTGTACACACTACCGGGGCGCCTCTGACCAGCGGTGGCATCACAATCTGAGAGCCATGTTTAGATGGAACATGTTGGCCACCCCTGACTAATGGGGGAGGGATCACTGTGCCTGAGCTTCGACCTACAATCTGAATAAACAAGAATAAAAAAGAAAAAAAGAAAAACAATGAATGACCAGTTTTATTTTGAAATATTTCTTAAACATAACAGTAACACAACAAGACAATACAAAGTTATCAATATTTGGACCCTCGGCAGTGGTAGGTGACACAAACAAGCGGCATATATATTACCTGTAGGGGTCCTTTGCTTGATGTAACGCTTCCCCTCACCAAAGGAGGAGGGGTAGCTACTGATCCAGCAGCCTGAAAAATAGTACAGTGGTTGACAATGAAGCCATTTGAGTACAAATACACACAAGTTAAAAACTTTTGATAAACATTGTAATTTGGGGTAAAAATTACTTCAGGAGATCAATCTTTTAACTATGTCAGTAACTATTGCCATTGATGGTAGAAGTAACACCAACAACAGCGCCGTCTTGTCCCAACCGAGTTTTACCTTTGATGCAGTGCTTTCCTTCTGGATCTGGCTCTGTCGGAGTTTCTTAAGCAGCACCAGCTTAGCCTCTTGTAGCCTAAGTTCTTCCTTCAGCTGTTTAATAATGCGTTCTCTCTCCTCAGGAGAACTCTTCTATATAGGTCATAACAGAAAAAAAAATTCTCTATTACAAATGTTAAAGACATAAAGCATTGAAGAATCACTGATTAGACAGTTTTATTAGTTACAACATATTATTTAGCAATTAAAATGCTGCCAACAGATCAACTATGGGAAATTACAAGCTGTCAGATAATAACTTTAGTAAAAACAATGAAATGTGTGTTCCTACCATAAGTTTATCTGTGTCAGTCTTTGTGAAGCAGTGACCATTAATGAGCGGACTGGATGGCTCGTTGTCTGATAACACTATCACATCATCTGGTGATGGTGGCGACTGCTCCTTCTTTATGTCACTGTCGGAACAAAGAATCAGATACCAATAAGTTGACACGCAAGTACCTTTCTTCAAAGTTCTTTTCACTTTTACATAGTACAACATAAAGTAGTAGAACAAAACACAAATGACACTGTAGTAATGTCTATTATCCACAAGATGGCAACATTAAACAGGCTTTTCTTATATTAACCGTTTGAGTGCACAGGCGCTCTGGGACCTAAGACATTAACATGAGATCAATACTGGTGTAATGGCGAGGGTGGAAGAAGACAACAAAACATTATGTTCATCAAAAGGCAACGGACTTCCTGCTCTAGTCCTCGCACTGGATACAAGGGAATCAGTCGCAGACATTAAAGACAAATTTAAATCTATTTTTATATATTTTTCAAAAGAAATGGTTTATAGTGACATTTGACTTTCTTCGTAGAACAAAGGACAGCAATATTACATTACATTTAGAGTACATCGGCCTAAAAATAAGTGGAGATTTTAGAGTTTTCCAAATCGAGTGAATAATGTACGGAATGTAAAACACATTTTACAGCAGACGACAGCTCAAGGGGTTAATTCCAATAAAAATGTATAAAAACAGAACACAATTCCAAGACTTAGTGGAACATAGGATGAAAAGAAGATCATAGACCAACACAGAGGTTCAGTTTTCTTTTGTGACTAAAGTTTGATCACACTTCAGATTGTCTTGCAGAAGAAGATACGTGTCGTTCTCGGTTTACCACCCAGACAGACAGGGCCTCATCGCTGCACTACCTCTGTGGCGAGCCCTGTGGCCTAGCCACATCGGCAGAGCCCGGGCCCCGGCCTTCTCCTCCCTCCCACCTGCCA